GATGCAGCATCTGCTGCACGTAGACCAGATGCTGTCCAAAACCACTTGGCCTTTGTGAGCTGTTGGAGAAAGGATTGTAACTTTGGCAGTCCCCTGTGTTAGGCTAAGATGAGATCTCCATATGTGGCCATTTCAGACGAGAGCTGAGAAATTAAGCCACCAGAGCCACTCTGCAGTAGTGGGTGAAGTTTGCTTCACCTGTAAATGGCCAATTTTGAGTTTAGGGAATAATATCAAATGAGTTGGGGGATGGGGGTGGTTCTCCTAGTTTTCACTAAACAGGTGTCCCTATCAGCAAAACCGTGCACGGCAATTAGTTGTCACCCCTGCCCATGCAGTGAATGGCTGGGGGAAAGATCATCCAAGACAGTGGTTCTCAACCAGGAGTCTTCCAGGAGACGCATCAACTCTTCTAGAGAGCTATCAAATGAGTTGGGGGATGGGGGTGGCTTTCCTAGTTTTCACTAAACAGGTTTCCCTATCAGCAAAACTGTGCACTGCAATTAGTTGTCACCCCTGCCCATACAGTGAATGGCTGGGGGAAGGATCATCCAAGACAGTGGTTCTCAACCAGGAGTCTTCCAGGAGACGCATCAACTCTTCTAGAGAGCTCCTTAGTTTTACAACAGGCTACATAAAGAAGCACCAGCAAGGCCAGTACAAACTCTAATTTCATACAGACAGTGACTTGTTTGTACTACTCTATGTGCTACGTACAGTACAGAAATAGAAATGAGTACAATATTTATCTTCCAATATTTATATGATTGTCAGCAATTTTTTCAATAATTGTGTGGCTGTGATGCTTGTGTATTTTGTCTGGTTTTTGTAAGCCAGTTGTTTTTAAGTGAGGTGAAACGGGGGGGGCGGAAGCAACTGAAATCAGACTCCTGAAAGAGGTACAGGGATTGGGAAAGGCTGTCACCAGTCCAACGAACACCCCTTAGGGTGGAGTAATGTACTGGAGAAATATGTACTGTGTGTATTTTGTCTGGTTTTTGTAAGCCAGTTGTTTTTAAGTGAGGTGAAACGGGGGGGAGGGGAAGGAGGGGAAGCAAGTGAAATCAGACTCCTGAAAGAGGTACAGGTTTGGGGAAAGGCTGTCACCAGTCCAGCGAACACCCCTTAGGGTGGAGTAATGTACTGGAGAAATATGTACTGATGTTTAGGGTTGCCAGATGGTTTCAACAAAAATACTGGACACATTTGACATTATATCACAATCTACATTACATCTGATTTAGAAAATACCGGACATTTATATTTTCTCATTTGTATTTTCTCAATTTGTTTCCCAAACGGAAAGCTCAAATACTGGACTGTCCAGTTCAAAACCAGACAGGTGGCAACCCTACTGATGTTGCTTTCACTGTCCTTAATCTGTGGCTGGAGGAGAAACCTCTGTATTTGAGCTTTTCCTTTTAGGGATTCTCTTTTTTGTACACCTCAACTGCAGCATTATCGCAATGCGCTGGGCTCTCTAATGTCAACGTGGTGTGTCCGGCTGAAGGCGCTGCCGTGTTCCCAGGGCGGCCATTCCAGCAATGACAGATGAAAATGGGTGGAAATACAGCAGCCGTCTGCCCTGCCCCACGCGGGCATGTGAGGGGGTCACGGGAGCGCGAGCGCTAGGTACCAGGGGGGGGCTTGCCGGACTGGGGGTTTGACGTATCAGAGGGGGGAGCCCCAAGGGGATGGGAGCAGGGAAGTAGGAAGGAGACAGTCTCCAAATGGGGGACAAGTCCAAGGTGCAGCTGAGGAGGGGTCTGGCCTGGCTGCTGTGAGACAGCAGCTGGCTGCTACTGGGAGAGGGCGCAGCATGAGCCTATCTCCTGCCCTTCTCAATATGGCGCCGAGAGGGCGAAGAACATCTTGACCTTACTAATAGGGCGGCTCCCAGCAGGGAGGAGGACGTGACTCTACCAAGATGGCGGCCGCCCATGGCCGACGCGTGCCCTTCCCTAGATGGCGGTCTCCCGGCAGTTACCTTTTGCAGGAGAGGCACTTCCGGCCCCTCCCCTTTCCCGCCGTGCAGCGCGGCCTCGGCTCGGGGCTTCCCGTCCCCTCTGTGGCAGGGGGCGGGGGGGGGGGGGGGGGG